TATATATATATATATATATATATATATATATATACACACACACACATTGGCACTCATTGTGTCTTCTTTAATTGTTCAATTTATATATGTGGTTTTGTTTCTTGTTTACGGATTTTTTTAATTATTTGTAGCTTTGCTTTAAAGTTCAATTCTTGTTTTGTGATTTGTACATCTGTAGGTTAGAATAAAGTTGAACTAAAGGCTGTATCTCTTCTTTAAACATATTTGAGGGAAAAATTCCTGAGATCCAATAATTTTGTCTTTTTATGATTTTTCAACTGAGTTAACTTTAACAGATTATGTAAGTCATTAAAGTGACAACAGGATTTCATGATAAAGCTGTCACAGTTTATTTTTTAATTTTCACTGATTTAAAATCAACAACAACAACATTACATACAATGCTTTTAAAAATTGTTTCCCCCCTCCGTGCGCCAAACCAGTCTGCCAGGATCAGGGTTTGGCCTTCATGAGCACGCAAGGCCTGGGTCCGGGCAACGGCCTTCTGCAAGTCATCAGCTGGTATGATCCTCCGCGGTGACCACTGGAGCTCGGAGCACGCAGAGCACGCAATGCCGGGATCCTGAGCTGGCATTAGACCACGGTGTGGTCATTATTGTTTTTAAACTCTTTAAAATAGGTCCAGCCGCTGGTCAGAGTTCAGAGAAATTGCAAATGGCGGATCGGTGTTTTGAAAAGTTTCTGAAAGATCCAGTGACTCCGACCCCTGACCAATCAGTGACCGACAGTGTTCTGACGTCATGTTTTGGTACCTGCTCGGCCCGGTTGGAACCACAGAGCCAGGGGTTCTGAAAAAAGGATCAATTCTACGTACCTTTTCTAATGGAAAAACCTTGGAACCGTGCTGAATCGAGTTTTACCATTACTAATGGAAAAGGGGCATAAGTTTTGATGCAAACCCTGTCTTGGGCCTAAAAACTGACTTCACATTCTTCAGCCAAAACTGATATTCCTTGATATGCTAAAATAAACTACTACTACTACTACTTGTACTACTATCCCTACTTTGCGGTTTTTCACTTATCACAGGGGTTAGGGGGTTGGAAACGGAACCCCAGTGATAAACGAGGGACTACTGTACATCAAATACACGTTGATATAAAAATTTAAACTTTTAATAATCCTTTTCATGAATGTGACAAATGAAATAGCTCCAAAGCCAAAAATCCACGGCCAAATTGAAGTTATTTTAAAGCTTAATCAACCTCAGTAAGAACTGCCGTCTGAGGATTGTTTTCCTGGTAATTACAATGACGTTTTTATTTTTGTTCCAACAAGAAACCTACAGAAAAAAAATAGTACAAAGAAAACCTACACAGAAACTCCTTGATGTTAAAAGGTGTCAAACGTGTCAAATATATATATATTTAAAGAAATTCATAGTGTTCTTAAACGGCGTGTGTTAGAATTATGACGTTTGTTTTGCATCATTTACTCACCAGAAAATGCATCTTCTGGTGTTTTAACTCAGCCAGATGACTGACGAGCTCGTTCTCAGGAATCTTGCGAGCGCAGCCCCCACAAAGGTAGATTGGATCTCGTGTAAGGCATTGACATTTAAAAAACGTTGCAGATATTCTGCAAAAATCTTCATTCAGAACCTTTTCATCCCTCTTTTCGACACAGATGTCATCTTTCTCCTTCTTTACTTCAATTTTTGGAATTTTTGCAGGTTGTTCATGTGACGGGTCATCTTTAGAGGCAGATCGAGGTCTTTTACGGGCCTTTTCTTGTCCCAGGTCCTCATTCGAACATGCTTCTTTTTGTGATCGTTCAGGTGTAGCTTTATTCTCCTTTTTCTGGTAAACATCACTCATTTGTGCCATTATACCTTTGATACCTGAACTCTCTTTCGTTCTTGGCCAAGTTTTATTTTCCTCCATCACCTTGCAGGTTTCTATAGATTCTTCAATATTGTTTTCAGTCAAAGTCTTTTCTGTTTTCACCCTTACTACCTGGACTGTCTCACTTCTGTGTTTGACCTCTTGTGGATAAATATTTTCAGGCACCTCTTTTTTTATAACCGGTTCCTTTTCTTTCACAGTCAGCGTTTCTTCCATGCTGACCTGTTCTTTTTTAATCTGTGCATTTTCTTTCACTGTCAGTGTCTCCTCTGCACAACTTTGCTCTTTAATCTGCTCATTTTCTCGCTCGCCAGTGTCAAGGCAGGTTTTCCGATCGTCGTTCCCTTGTTTCTGTTCCTCCTCTTTTCGAGTTTTTCTGGGAACTGAAATAGATTAAAACACTTTAAAAAGTGCATTTGATTCTAAACGCACATGTACAAGAAATTCACATTAAAAAAGTCATGAAGTCTGCGGTAAAAACGTGTGGAAAATTAAGAAGAAAATGTTTTTAGCAGAATTTTTACAACAAAGTGATTTTTTTTTCTTCTGTCAAAAGAAACACAACTCCAGTAACTACAAAAATAAGTAACCTGCTTTAATGTATGGCTGTTTAATATCTGGCGTGCTTGTTGTCAATTACCATTTTTGCATGAGCTGGGTTAATTAATTGTTTATAACCAGACTGAAATTAATTTCGCTTGGTGAGATAAACTAAGTATTATTAGTAATAAACCTTAAGATTTACTTTTGTTTTTATTTGTATATAGTGAAATTTGAGCCACTGAAAATAAAGAGGCTTCTATGTATCCAAATACTGTCATTCTGAAACTCTTTCTGTAGAGTTGCATCTATCACAACTGAGGTCCTGAATTAGAAAACTGTAACATGAAAATATTTCTAAACAGCCACAAAATTTAACTTTTCTTTAAGACAATTTGTGAGCAAATCGTCCATATACATAGGTGCAGCTCAGAAAATTAGAATAATGTGAAAAAGTTATATTATTCTTGTCAATCATTTCAGAAAGTGAAGCTCATATATTACAAACTCATTACACACAGAGTGAACTATTTTAAGCCCTTATTTCTTGTAATTTTGAGGATTATAGCTTACAGATAGTGAAAAATCAAAATTCACTGTCTCAGAAAATTAGGACGTTACACAAGAGCAATTAAAAAAATGATGTTTTAAACACAAATTTACACTTCTGGAAAGTGTGTTCATTTCTATGCACTCAATATGTGCTTGAGCCTCATTTTGCATGAATTACTGCATCAAAGCGGCACGACATGGAGATGATCAGCCAGCGGCACCGGTGAGGTGTAATGGAAGCCCAGGTTACTTTGATAGCGGTTTTCAGATCATCTGCATTGTTGGGTCTGGTGTTTCTCACCTTCCTCTTGACAACAGTCCATAGATTCTCTGTGAGGTTCAGGTCAGGTGGGTTTGCTGAAACAGTTTTTGGTACCTTTGTCAGTGTGGGCAGGAGCCAAGTCCTGCTGGAAAATGAGATCAGCATCTCCATAAAACTCATCAGCAGAAGGAAGCAGGAAGTGCTATACAATGTCCTGGTAGATGCCGTGTTGACTCTGGACTCCAGAAAACGCAGTGGACCAACACCTACAGAGGACACGGCCTTAAACCATCACTGACTGGAAACTTCACTCTGGATTTGAAGCAATATGGATTCTGGGCCTCTCCACTGTTCCGCTTACCCAAAGCGAGGTAGCCACTGGCACAGTGACATGTCCTCACTTGCAGCCTCTCCTTCAAGGGGTCTAGAAACTAACCTTAGCGCCGTGGTATTACCTGCAGCTCCCTAAGATAGCCTCATTAAGGCTGTGATGAAGTGACTCATCCAGAATATTAACGACCTTCTTTTCCGCGAGCCAAACCCAGATCTCACTCCGTACTTCGACCTATCCAAGCAGCAGGGTCGGGCCGATCGGCACGGAGAAGCACGCGTTCACGGTCGCTCACCTCTTGATTTAGCGTTGCAATTGTTATCCGTTCTGGTAATCTTTAGAGTCCAGGGACAGGACTCAGGGGTGTTGTTTTACACTTTCTTGCCAGGAAACCGTTAAAAACCTCCTAATACAAGCTGTTAAAGTAGAACCACGCTTCACCATGTATTTGCTCAATGAGGATGAAATAATTGTCAAGATTTATATGTTTTGCTTTGCTTTAATTAGTAATTTTGCAAGGGAATACAGCGACAAGCATAATTTCACAACAGGTACTTATTCATGATAACAGAGAAAAACACTTTATAACTAGGCGGACAATAAATCAATTTGTCTCCAAGAACCCTGGAGGACTTGTATAAACCACCTCTACTCTGTCCGTTCACAACCCAAGCCAACAGATATTTTCTCACAAACTACTTCTCCGTTTTGATACATCTCTGAGCATTGACCCACTAAGCCCAGTTTGGTTCTCTCTAATTTATCCTATGTGCTTGTCCTGATCTGACAACTACTTAGTTTGGAGCAGTCGGACCGGGAAGTCCTCTTACCATGGATTTTGGGTTAATCCTTATAGTATTTCCGCACAGATAAAAGGCAAATCTCCTGTTCCCCAGGCGGGGGATACAGGCCTCCCCTAAGCAGAGCAGCTATCCCAAATTGGAAGAATCGGGACTTTGGACATGCCCGGGTCAAGGTTGTAGGAGGATGGAATAATCCCAGTCTCGTCTTAACAAGTGAAGAATTAGGTCCAATCTCACATCAGTGGGATAAGAGGTAGAATCCAAAACTCGTCTTGGACCAGTATAATCCAACTCCTTCGGGCAACCCCAACTTCTAGGCTGCTCGCTTGTAATCCTTTCTGCTCTCCTCTTCTCCTGGCTTAGCTTGAACCTCGTTCTGTCTGATCAGAGGATTTTTATGAACCCTTTTTTCCCCTCCTTCGAGGAGGTCCTAATGTCTCACCATATGTCTCAACCAATCACTTCTCTTATTGGGACATGTGAGATCATGCAAACTCTTGCCTCCACCCATCTGGGTGGGCTTTCACCGTCCTTGCTCAGAGTTGCATCAGATTTTTTCCCTCCAAACTGTCTTGCTGAGAGTTGCATCAGATGTTTTCGATGTTTTCCCTTCAAACTCTCTTGCTGAGAGTTGCATCAGATGTTTTCGATGTTTTCCCTTCAAACTGTCTTGCTGAGAGTTGCATCAGATGTTTTCCCTTCAAACTGTCTTGCTAAGAGTTGCATCAGATGTTTTTCCTTCAAACTGTCTTGCTGAGAGTCATACAGGATTATTACAGACTTATTCAACATAGCTGTTGTAAAGCTTTTCAAAGAATTACACATTCACTTAAAACATGATTATTTCACTTTATGCATTCATTATTCAGCCTCAAACCTGGCTCTTTCTCTGCCTGAGTTTGGATTCAGGCCTTCCTTTGTCCTACACATCTTATCAGTAATAAGTGTTTGTTAAAAGTAAGAGGAAGCATATAATAAAAAGCATATAATAACGAGACATACAAATTGTTAACGTTAAACTCTTATATACTATTTGTTGAACAGCATTGGTGTGAATATAGTCTGATTTCAACTTATTAAAACTGGCGTCTCCCGTTTCACCACCACCTGGATGCCGGTTTTCCAACACCACTCTTCCTTCAGACTCTGGTACCTTGATTTCCAAATGAAATGCAGAATTTACTTTAACCTGAAAAGAGGATAATGGACCACCGAGCAACAGTCCAGTTCTTCTTCTCCTCAGCCAAGTAAGATGCTTCTGACGACTCTGGTTCAGGAGTGACTTTACTAGAACAATGTGAAATTCTGTAGTCCATGTCTAGGATTCATATGTTCACAGTGGCTTCTTGATGCGCTGACTCCAGCTTCAGTCCACTCTTCGTAAAGCTCCTCCAAATTTTTGAATGAATTTAGCTTGACAATCCTCTAAAGGCTGCAGTTATCCCCATTTCTGGTGCAGCTCTTCCGACCGCACTTTTTCCTTCTGTTTAAATTTTGATGAATATGCTTGGATACAGCACTCTGAACAACCAGCTTCTTTAGCAATGACCTTTAGTTGCATTAACTCCTTATGAAGGGCATCAGTGAAGTCAAGTCAGCAGTCTCCATGACTGTGTAGCCTACTGACCCAGACTGAGACCACTTAAAGGCTCAGGAAACCTTTGCAGGTGCTCTGAGGTAATCAGCTAATTAGGGTGTGACACCATGAGTTTACAACAGTGAACTTTTTCACAATATTCAAATTTTCTGAGACAGTTTAGGTTTTCCATTATTTGTAAGCCATAATCATTAAAATGTTAAGAAATAAAGTTCTGAAATATTTCACTCTGTAATGAATCTATACATCAGTTTCACTTCCTAAAACAAGTGATTAAAAAAACTGAATTTTCACGATATCCTAATTTTCTGAGCTGCACCTGGCACTTTAAAAATTTATATCCCTTTATTAACGTACAAATGTTAATCTAGTTCATACTGCATTAAAAACTTCTGCATGGTTCTCAAAAGCAGTTTTGTTAATTTCTTTGGTTTGGCTTACCCAGCTTCATCCTGGGTTTTATTGGTGGAAAAAGACCTCCTCTTCCTTCTCTCTGCTTTGCAGCTGTTAAGATTTTTATTGCTAGAATAAAACAGCACAAAACAGTAAAAAGAAAAATTTAGCTTCAGATGCCAAGGAGGAATATTTGTTACAATCTGCAGGCTCACCTTTTTGGTAGGTGCAGGGCTCCCACATAGGAAGGCTTAGGTTTATTACCTGGGATATCAGTAAATATACAAACCAATTAAATACAAAATTAGAAGAGATGCTAGATGAGAATGGTTTAGAAATATACAATTTGTATTAGAATACCTGAATATTAGACACTGTGTGAATACGTGCCGCCTGTTTTGCCAGGTCCAGAAGCGTCTCTGCGCTGTCAGTGCTGGGATTCAGTGAGTTGGGGTGAAAACAGTCCTGCATGTAAACACATGCATTACTGTCAAGTCCATATAATATTTGTTGCCATTACTGTGTTATAACTGCAGTGTGTCCACTAAAAAAATGTTGTCATAGTGTGGACACAAAGTGCATCAAATGTAGCTGATAAAGTTGCTTTGCTAGACTCCTCAGCAGAAATAAAGTTCCATCTGAAAGTTTGTCCACTCCGTCTTGTGTAGACTTTGGCAGCTCGTTAAACATTTGCTTTACTTTGTAAATATTAACATTAGATAACTTACCGGTGACTGAAATTAAAGTATAAGCTAAAGTTAATAATGAGCATTAATGATAAACCAGATGAACCAAGAGATTTGATCTATTGGTGTGACATCTTGTAAGGGAAGACTCACTAAATTGATTTTGGTACTTCAGAGGTTTTTACACTTGCTGTCATTTTTGATAAAACTTAAAATAAATTTCAATGTGTTTAAAAAAAAAATCAAATCAAATCAAATCAAGCACCAGTAATGGGAGAAATGCAGAAATACGAAATGGAGAGGAAAAAAACTCACCAGAAATGTTGTTACATGCTCGTGACTGAATACATGAGCATGCGATTCATCCCTCGACAGCCTCCTTTGACACAGCAAACATAGAAATCCCTCCACAACCTCGATTTCGTTGACAAGCAGTTTGTGCGACACCAGGAAATGGTTGCCTGAATGAATAAATACATCAAAAACATCTGTATAACCCTTCTGTGAAATGCACTAATGCACTTTGTTAACAGTTCCTGTTTTAAATGTGCTATACAAATAAATTTGACTTGACTAGACTTCTGTGGCATTCTCCATTAAGACTGAAGTATAGTCCATTAAGACTGAAGTATAATCGATTAAGACAGAAGTATAATCCATTAAGAATGAAGTATAATCGATTAAGACTGAAGTATAATCCATTAAGACTGAAGTATAATCCATTAAGAATGAAGTATAATCGATTAAGATTAAAAATTGAAGTATAGTCCATTAGGACTGGAGGATAGTCCATTAAGAAAGAAGTATAATCCATTAAGAAAGAAGTATAATCCATTAAGAAAGAAGTATAATCCATTAAGACTGAAGTATAACCCATTAAGACTGAAGTATAATCCATTTAGACTGAAGATTGAAGTATAGTCCATTAAGACTGAAGTATAATCCATTAAGACTGAAGATTGAAGTATAGTCCATTAAGACTGGAGGATAGTCCGTTAAGACTGAAGTATAATCCATTAAGACTGAAGTATAATCCATTGACTGAAGATTGAAGTATAGTCCATTAAGACTGAAGTATAATCCATTAAGAATGAAGTATAATCCATTAAGACTGAAGATTGAAGTATAGTCCATTAAGACTGAAGTTTAGTCCATTAAGACTGAAGTTTAGTCCATTAAGATTGAAGTATGGTCCATATAGTGGAGGAGTTCAAGTATCTTGGGGTCTTGTTCACGAATGAGGGAAAAATGGAGCGTGAGATCGATAGGCGGATAGGTGCAGCATCTGCAGTGAAGCGGGCGATGTACAGGTCTGTCGTGGTGAAGAGAGAGCTGAGTCAAAAGGCGAAGCTCTCAATTTACCGATCGATCTACGTTCCTACCCTCATCTATGGTCACGAGCTTTGGGTTGTGACCGAAAGAGTGAGATCTCGGATACAAGCGGTCGAAATGAGTTTTCTCCGCAGGGTGTCTGGGCTCTCCCTTAGAGACAGGGTGAGAAGCTCGATCATCCGGGAGGGACTCAGAGTAGAGTCGCTGCTTCTCCACGTCGAGAGGAGCCAGTTGAGGTGGCTTGGGCATCTGTTTAGGATGCCTTCTGGACGCCTCCCTGGTGAGGTGTTCCGGACACGTCCCACCGGAAGGAGGCCCAGAGTTAGACCCAGGACACGCTGGAGGGACTATGTTTCTCGGCTGGCCTGGGAACGCCTCGGGATTCCCCCGGAAGAGCTGGCCCAAGTGGCTGGGGAGAGGGAAGTCTGGGCCTCCATACTTAGGCTGCTACCCCCGCGACCCGACCCCGGATAAGCGGAAGAAAATGGATGGATGGATGGATGGGTATAGACCATTAAGACTGAAGTATAGTCCATTAACACTGAAGTATAGTCCATTAAGACTGAAGATTGAAGTATAGTCCATTA